CCACCACACTCACTACCAGCAAACCAGATCAAATGCATTATGCCCAAGTCTGGGACCTCTCGCTAACTCATTCGCTCAGCGAGTTGCTAGCGAATGTCCGTGACCTGTTCGCCTAGCGAAGGTGCTAGCGAATGTCTGCGAACTCAGAAAATTCTCACTGTCCTCAGGTCCTCAACTCTTCACAAAACCTACCGATTCTCACCAAACCAGTTCCATAGTCTTAGTATAACCTCCCTCGATTAAATTATACCACTTATTCTCATTTTCTACCGTTAAAACTCAGTTTCTATCGATTAAATCCAATTTGCCCTAAAATGGAAGTTGTAGAAAAACAACCAACAATCTAACCCAAGCATACACAATCATATACATTGACTAGATAATGACATTTCACACCCTTACCTCGATTAATCGATGCTTGAGAGTTGTTCTTGAGCTTTTTCCAACTTTTCCTTCTTCTTTCTCTTCTTCCTCTATCTTTCTTTTTCTTTCTCTTATGTTTCTATCTTTTTCCTTTCTCTCCACCTTTCCTTTATAAGTCTTTCCCTTCTAATTCTCTCCAACATCTATTAATTCATTTAATTAATCATACATTAATCAAACAATCCTCTTAAATCATTTAATTAATATAAATAATTAATTAGTGAAAATTGGGCTGTTACAGGTAGTTCTTCCCTTTGAGTTTATTACCTTTTGTTGTCTACCAAGTAATCGGTAGTTGGTAATATTTCTCGTATCCTTATTGGTTGGTTATCTTTATGAGCTACCCAGTAAACCGGTAGCAAGTAATTATTCCCTTTGAGTTTATTAGATTTTGTTGTCTACCAAGTAATCGGTAGTTGGTAATATTTCTCGTATCCTTGTTGGTTAGTTACCTTTGTGAACTACCCAGTTGTCGCAACTGCGAAAAATAACCGGCGAAAAAACAAAGTCGTCGTCGGACATTATTTATCCCGACGGGGAAAAGGAAACGATCGAAGAAACCTCAAAAAGAGATAATACATGGTCTCACAACCAAATTCTGAGTTCGGGAGTCGATTAGGCGAGAGAAAGTTGTTAGCACCCCTCGCGTCCATTATACTCAACGGGATCCACTCTTGTTGTTTTAATCAAAGGGTGTGTATATCTAAAAAATCACTTGCTAACGAAAAACAAGACAAAAAAGGAGAAAAACAAAAAGAGACTCGATAAGACTTCGCCATCCTATGTCTACGTATTACCTCGTGCAATGGAAAAGTCAAAGTCAACGTAGTTCTGAGGACTACGGGTGAATGTGAGAAGGGTGCTTGCAAAGACTTCATTGTCTTGTACCTACATATCTTCATTTAGACAAGAATGAAGAAGTCAGAGCGTTCGTAGTTCATGGGACCACAAGTCGAACTTGAATTGAGATAATTAATCTTACTTTGCAAAAGTAGTTTTACAAGAGAAATGTAGCAATACAACCCCACATGCTCTATGTTTGATGTTGATTCTAACACTTTCTCTTCTCTTGATCTAAACTCGATCAAGTCACCCAACAATACCAATTTAATCGACCATCTCACACTACTCCTTTGCAAGAAACCTCATTCTTCAAAGCTATCACTTGATCAGACCCAAACTGCGAATTATTGTCACCCAAGATTCACCAAGATGATCCACCGTCTCACGCTACTCCTTTGCAAGAAACCCTCGTTCTTTAAAGCTTTCACTCAATCGAATCCAACTTGAGTAATCTTGTCTAAAATCTTCAAATCACCAATTGATATTAAAGGAAAACCCCAACTTGGGTTTCTTATTTGAAACCCCCAAAGATTCTCAACTGAATTTACTATTCAGCAACCTAAATTGGACATTATCAACTCTGATTCTAGATGGCACCCAAACAAAAAATAATTACGTGTAATTTGTTTGTGTGTATGCATAGAACATAGGTTGAAAATGAAGAGAACTCTTTGTATATTATTGGTTTTATTTCTGGTTTTTCAACAACCATCCTTTTGAAATGATGCATGTATGAAGTATATATATGTGTTCAAGTTAGGGGCAAAAGGAATGCAAAAGATTTGAAAAAATCATGAATTTTTAGAAAAATGCATCGTATGTAACAACCTATATAAGTCACGAGCCGACACATTCGAAGCATGTGTCGACTTGTATAGGTCATGTGTCGACTCATAGAAAACAATTTCTTATATGGTTGACCTGAAACCCTTCAATAGTCGACACGTCAAATAGAAGGTACAATCTTTAAAAGTCATCCACATGTGCTGACACATACATGCTATGTGATGACACATTGACATGCAGGCTTTAAAAATGATTCTTATGTGTCAGCACATAGCATGTATGTGTCGGTACATAGAACATGTTTTCACACAAAAATCTATTTTTAATGCATGAAACCTTTTCTAAAATGTTTTTATGCTTCCTAATTCTAAAATGCACATTGAAACTCAGAGGATACCGTCCAATATACATAAACGCTAGAGTATAATAGTTTTGACATCATACAAAATACATTTAACGGGAAATTGCACTCACACAAACTACTTTAGCAACTTGGGTTTTTTGCGCCAAAAATAGAGAGAGAGAGAGAGAGAGAGAGAGAGAGAGAGAGAGAGAGAGAGAGAGAGAGAGAGAGAGAGAGAGAGAGAGAGAGAGAGAGAGAGAGAGAGATCTTGTAATGGTTGACGCAAGTTGCCATTGGTAAGACGCTTTCTTCTCCTGAACTATAACGTGTAGTGTAATTATAATGCAAATGTCGTGCCTGATTATGCATATGTCTGCGCGACAGTTTTGATTTCACTCGCTGAAGAATGTCTTTACTTTGCAAAACTTGTATTTGACGGGTTAACTAAACTAAACAATTATTAATTCAATATATAAAAATAAAAACCTGACACAACATTATGATTATAAAATTTTTCAAAAAAATTTATATAAAATATAAATGAAATCCCAGTGTCAGAATTAAACTTAAAAACTCAAAAAATATAATAATAATAATAATAAATTATTTTCTATAATAATAATAATAATAATAATAATAGTAATAATAATAATAATAATAATAATAATAATAATAATAATAATAATAATAATAATAATAATAATAATAATAATAATATGGTTAATAGCTAATTTGTCTGGACGAATTTTGAAAAAAAAAATCCTGTAAAAAAATTAAATTTCTCCCTAATATTGGAAGATTCATTTATTAATTTATTTATAATTTTTATAATATTATTAATTTATTATTTAAATATTACTTACTTATATTATTAATTTATTATTCAAATATTTATTTTAGATTTATTTAAATATTTTAATTCACTATTTTAATATATTTATAATAAATATTCAGTATTCAATATTAATTTATTAGTTAACTTTATATTGCTTTGGTTTTACAATTAATAGATATTTTATACTAAATATCATATATTATATATTTATATAGTTAATATATTTATAAAATTTAATATTATAAATTTATTTCGTAAATATTATGAACTAAATAAATAATATGAAATAGTTACAATGCATATTTAATATAAAATAGTTACAGTAAATTATGCATTATCAACTAAATAAATATGTGCATTTACAGGATATATTCAATATGAAATAGTTATAGTATATTTAACATACCAAATATTTTCACAATTTTAAAAACTTACTCTTTGACTATTGAGAATCCCCTCCATACGAGGGTGGTTGTACAATTGAATGTACAGAATCGAAAATAAATTCTTAGTGGCTCCTGCCTAGCTCCACATGGGAGATAGGACCACCGAAAAAGGGGTGCCAGAGAATTGAAAGGGTCCATGTCCTTATATTTGCTAGGAAACGATTGGACCATATTTATGGTACATGTTTGGGAGAGTAAAGAAAGGCATATGCAATGGTTTGGAGCTGATAGTGCATCCCTCCTTTATTTCTGATGACTTCTCATATATGCATTTATTTCATCTTTTATTTTACTCATGTAGATTTGAATAGCAAGCACATAAAGACCTGGCACGTAGTTAATGCTCATGACAGTATCATGTGTTCTTCCAGGGGTAGTTGGCATGTATTATTGTTCTCTTAATTTCACTGCTCTTTTTTCTGCTTTTGAGTGGATCCAAAATTGGAAAACAGAGTTCACCCTTTCTAGTCTTTGTGAAAAATTGACTCAAAAGTTATTATATCTACACTGGTCTCCTCATTCAATGGTGGAAATTGTATCTAAACATAGAATGTGCACATAAAAAGTTGTTGTAATATTTAGGGCAAGTATAAAAATTTATATTAGATAAAAATATTTCTTTAAGATAGATATAAGTGATGACACTCATATTAATCAATGCGTCAATTTCTTAACATATGTCACAAATGTAATTGCATATTATATTTAAAATTCTCTTAACAAAAGTAGAAACAATCTTCACTTTTAGAAACAAGTTTTAAATTTTGTAAGATTGAATAAAATTTAGCCACATTTAACATGATATTAGAATTTCATTTAAAAATCTCACATATCATATATATTATAGATCTAAAACATTCAAAAGAAAAAAGAATAAGGTATAGAGTAAAAATATTTAAGCATGAAGTGATAGATAATATATTTATATCAAACACTTATAATTGATGTAGAGTAATAGTGGGATCACTATCCAAATATTTTATTACATTAGGATAGAAAGCTCACATGCATAACAGAAACATTCATGTAGATCCAATTTAGCCTCTACACAAAACATAAATTCTTTCCTTCAAAGCCTCAATGTGATGCTATGCACTAGCATTCAAATTCAAATGCATAAAGCTCCTTCCAACAAACTTATATTTTTCAATTTCAACTTTACCACTACAATATATCATATTACATTACTTCATTAAACAAAAACTTTAACATATAAAAAAAATTCACACTTTATCTTCATTACTTCATAATAGCTTGTAGAGTTGTAGTATATCATTACGAATCGGGTAATTCACTTATTCGGGTCACGGTTAAACCCGCATTATCAACATGTCTTCAAAGGGTTTCCACACAAACAATCATTGTTATTAAATGACGACGCTTCCAGATGATCAAAAGTTGAACCCAAACCTAATGGTATAGGTCCACACAAATGGTTATGGCTAAGATCCAAATGCCCGATATATTTCGACGACGATAATGAACCGGGTACCCGCCCGTTTAAATTGTTAAAGGACATATCCAAAACCATGAAATACGATTTCGGACAAAAAACATCGGGTATGGAACCCGAAAAACCGTTATGACTTAGGTTCACTATACCCAAACCCGAGTTACTTAACAAGCTAGAAGGTATTTGACCTGAAAGTAAGTTAGTATCCAGATTCAAAGTGGATAGAACCGGCATTTTACCGAGTTCAGAAGGAACGGAACCGGTTAACCGGTTCATTGACAAATCCAAATCAGCGAGCCGGTAAATTTTTGAAATCGAAACTGGAATTGAACCGGTGAGTTGGTTCCGGTTCAGCAACGCGCGGCTTAGCATTTGGAGTTTTCCAAAATTAGCGGGAACTGAACCGGTGAGAGCGTTGTTGCTTAAATCGAGATGTTTAAGAGAAGCGAGATCGACGATCGACGGTGGAATCTCGCCGGAGATTGAGTTATCGGCGAGGTTAAGAACAGTGAGGCGCTGTAAGTTTCCTATATTCGAAGGAATTTTTCCGGTGAGTTTGTTTCCGATCATGTCAAGGATTCGGAGGTTAGAGAGAGAAGAGACACACTGAGGAACCTCTCCGGTGATGGCTTTCCAGTCGGCGACAACGAGAGTAGTGAGACGATCGATCTTGCAGATCTCAGGTGAGATTTTCCCTGTCATGTAGCCTGAACGGCCGGATTTCACGAAGATTGGATCCTCTGACTCGCCACGGAGGTTGATGTCCGTGACACGGCCGGTGCTGGAGTCGCAGCTAACACCGTACCAGTTGATGCAACAATCATCGCCGGACCATGAGTTGAAGATGCCGTGGTAAGGCTCCTTGAGTGCGGCCTTGAAGGCTAACAGTGCTGTTCTGTCAGACGGAGAACAACCGTTGACGGCGATGATGACGGTGGTGATGAAAACGGTTACGGAGATTATGTATGAAGAAGCCATGGGGTTTAGAGAGTGTACTGTTGTTTACTGGTGAAGGTGTTTGTAGTTTGCATGGTTATATAGATATGTTGAGTGACGAAATTACCCCTTGTGTGGAACTATTATTACACTGTGCCACTATGTGTGGTAGCTCTGTGTTTTACTGCAATTACCACGTGATGTTGCCGGTGCTTGACATGGTGGGCCAGTTATTTTTCTTAATTTGAATTGATTAAATGTCCAATTTGTCCCTATACCAAAGCATTCAGGAGATTTTTTGACCCAAATACTCTAGTTTGAAACCCTAAATATCACAACACCTCAGTTTGAAATATATTTATCAGCCTCACCTATTTTTGAAGGAGTTAGTCCAACAGAAGGATGACCTAGTAAAATGGATTGAAGATGTTCGTCCAACGCAATGGCGAACTGGTTGAAGGAGACAGCCATGAGTGAGTTCGCCCATTGCAAGGGCGAACTTGTGAAGGGTTTTTTTTTTTTTTTTTTTTAATTTTTTCAGATTTTTAAAGACATTAATTTCAAATATATAATACTCCTAATATATTTAAGTAATTTTAAATATATTAAATACTCATAATATATCTAATTAATTTTTAAAAAAATTATTTAATATAAAACATATAAAATCTACTTAATTAATTTAATAAAAAATAATAGTTAATTAATTATATAAAAAAGTTATTTTATTAATTTTGTATAAAAATTAATAAAGTAGATTTTTTAATAAATTAGGAGTATTTTATTTTTTATTAAATTAATCTACTGTTTAATATGTGAAAACTATTTAATATAAAACATATAAAATTTATTTAATTAAACTAATAAAAAATATATTTAATTAATTTTAAAAAAAAAAACTATTTAATATAAAACATATAAAATCTGTTGAATTAATTTAATAATAAACGTATTTAATTAATTGATCAAATAATTTACAAGAATAAAATTGCAAGATTAAATAGTTACAATAAAATTGATTACTTAAATATACATATCATCAAAGATGACCCCCAGTTCCACACCTAGGGGCCCTTCGCTGTCGGTGTCCTCTCCCCAAACGCTCGTTTGCAGATGACTGAGACGAGTCGGAAGACAAATCTTCATTGTGATGTGTTGTCGGGGGGATTGTCTGCCTTGTAGAGGGTCCTGGTTCATCATCTAGAATATCTTCGATGTTAAAATCCGGCATCTGCATCAGTTGCTCCTCTGTCAATAAGAAATGTTGGAATGAATGTGTTGGTTGTGGTGGCTGTGGGTAGGTTTCGACTTGGGTTTGTTGAACGGTTGGGATGTAGACGTCATCAGGCGTGAAGGCGGGTTGTGAGAAGGTAGTGTTGAAGGTAGGATTTGTAGGATATTGGAAATAAGGGTTGCTCTGCTCAAAGTTGGGGGTTGTGCATGGGGTGAACTGTCTGGGTGGTCGGAGGTAGGGTTGAGGCTGATATTGTTGGGTGAACTGGGGGAAATTATAGTTATGTTGAGCTAACGAGGATGGTGTTGCACCCTAAAATTTGCCCACTTGTATATTACTTTCATCTGTATATTCATCTACCAATTGTTAATAAGAAAATCCAAAAAATATGTGACTCTACTTATGGTCAAGGTGCAGAGTTTTCTGCAAGTAGGGTTGAATCAAGTATCAGTTGGGGTCTGTCAGAAGTGTTCCAGGGCAGGTTTTTGTGTATGATGTTATTTCTAGTTCAAGAGGTCCTAACTTAATCGTGGTCAGTCAAGAGTTCTTTTTCAGGAACGAGACTAGGGTGTGCAATTCAGATAATATGTATTTAGGGTTGCAGTAAGGATTTGTGCTTTTCAATCAGGGTTTGGTGCGGTATATTGAGGTTTATAGCACAATTCATAATCTTCTGATCTTAGAAGCACTTTCTTGCTCAATTGGTTTATAATGAGGATTTGTCAGTACTTAAGTGGCCAGGTTCAGATAGTTTCGTTGCTTTGATTCCATTCATCAGAAGCTGATTCAAGGTTGTGATGTGATTCATGATTTACGGCGGCCAGGTGCAATCTCGAGGTTTTAAGTGTGGTGGCACATTACGAAACCCATTTCAAACCAATCCAATTTCCATCCACCTTGCCAATTACCCATTTTTAGTTATCCATCTAAGTCCATTCATTTCTTTTATCCACATCCAATATCATCTATGTTCAAATCCCACTGCATACTCACATGTTTTTAGAAATACATTGTCATTATCATGCCTTCTTATCATTAATTATCTACAAAGATAAAAGAGAATTCAAAGTCAAAATTACCAAAAGCTCATCTCAAGCACACTACAAGAAAAAATCATGAAGCATAAACTCCAAAGAGGCCCATTGTACTTTTTATCTTTCTTCTTATAGCAATCCAACAAAAAAGGTTACAAACAAATGTTCTTGAGGGCCCAATTCATAATTTCAAAAAAAAGAAGAAGAGAGAATCTCTACAAAAATATATAAGTCTGTGTCTTGTTTCCTTTGGGCCCAATTACATTGCCAAATTAAAAAAAAAAGGGTACAACATCATGAAAATACTAGCAAAGAAACTCCACTCAAAGGCTGTCCCACAAGCCTTCGCGTACCCATTTACCAAAACTGGAAAAACAACGAAGCCTGCAATGTAACCATACACCACGACAGCCTACACAACCATTTGCAAGACAGACCTGCTACAACAACAGCTCAATGTCCACAAATCGTGAAAGCACCACCAGTACCACAAGGACCATTCCGTAACAATACCGGCAGAACTGCAAAAGAGAAAAGAAAACACAACTTCATATAACAACAACACATGGGTACAACAAATAATGCCAAATTCAAAACCTGTTGTAAACCGTACAGCACATGAAAACCCAGTGGAGTTGTGTCATCCATAATCTGAACCAAGCAACGTTTAACGTCGGGGCCCAGCCATAAATTCAAAAAGGCTAAAAACCCAAAAAAAAAAAACGAAAAGAGGGAGTTAAAAGAGCAGAAGAAGAAGAGGAGGGAGTGAATTACCGCAGCGGCACAAGATCTTCGCACAAAAAAGCCGTATTCTCTCCATGACCCCCACATACTTTCCGGGGTATGCAAATTCTCTGTGGAATAACTATGTGCGCTTCAAAGCCTTCAAATTCATGTTGCGTCCGTACCGTCCTCGAATCGGCAAAACCTGCAGAAGACAGAGTTCATTATGAGAGCAGTTCAAAGCAGTTGGCAAAAAGGAAATGTTATAGTTGGTGTCTCAAGAGAGAAAACGAGGCTGATATGTAAGATCATTGTTTTTGACAAAACATAAGTCATTAGACACTGCAGCCTATTGTGCCTCTAGTGGTAATCTTCTTGCTCCAACAAGCCATAACCTGCAACTTCTGCTTTACCACACCACTACAAAACAACAACCTGCCATAGCCCACACTACTGCACCCAACACCCCAGACAAAACCTGCAACAAAGTACAGCAGAAAGCAACACTCTGCTATGCTTTAATTCCCCCACACCAGACATCCTATCCTGCACAAACAGCAAAAAAAAAACCTGCTACAAACCAGATGAAGCCTAACACCGGCCCAGAACCAAAACCGCACGCATAAGCCTTCAAAACCGATTCTACAAAACTGCTTAAAGACAACAAGTTGAAACTCTCTCATGAATCTTGAAACCTCAACAACAAAGCCTTCATATTTAAACTTTTTTCTTCAACTTCATAACTTTACTTCTTTCACTCTCACAAAATTTTACTCCTGTTCTTCCAACAAACGTCTGAACAAACTTCAAAGAGACCCACCATCAACCTCTTTCTTCCTTCAAACAACACCATACCTAAATATGACCTTCTACTCTTCATTTACAAAACCTTTCAAGAACCAAAATTTTCTTCTCCAATACCACTTCTCATCCGTGAAAATTCCATACGCACCACATCGCGAAACTGGCACGAAACTTGTTGACAAAAACATATAGCATCACCTCCCTCTCATTCCATTCATTACCTTGAAACAAAAACCTTCAACCTAACACCAACAACTCGAAATCCCTTTCATCATTCCATAACCAAAATCCTCTTCTACAGTAACCTTCAACAAACCCGTAAACCAGAAACAAACCATTAACCTCCATGAACAACAAACTTCCATAAACCTTCATCACTATCAATTTCATTTTCCAGAAATTCCTCCAAATAAAACCTTCATCGACTTCGAACCATTTCAAACTCAAACCCACCACTTCATCTTCTCAACCGAAACAATAAAACCAGCTGCGAAATCACCAAGTCCTCCAACACCATTCCTTTCTTCCTCAAACCTCACGCCGTCGTTCTCACTACAGTCAAAACCCTCATCGTTTTCTTCCTATATCAACCATTCTCAACCAAGAAACATCCTCAACAAGACAATCAAACTCACCCACCCACTCGCGAAACTTCAAACACATCCGCGACACCAACAACCTTTAAACCCAGACAATACCCATTTTGTTTCCACCGTGAACCCTTCAAACACCCGTTAACGAAACCCATATCTTCTCATCTTGAAACCTCAAACACACGACCCATTTTCCTCCTACCACCTTCATCTCTTCAACCTCGTCACATCCTAGATTCAGACATTCACCAACATCAAAAATCAATCTGAACTAGAACAGAAAATAAATAGACGGAGAAGATGAGATGAAGTAGAAGTGCGGTCCGATTCAAGAACAAACAAACAAAGACGAAAATAAATTGAATCTGAGTGAAGTTTGAATCGAGCAAGAAGAAGGATTCCATGTTAAATTGAAAAGGTCGAGAGCATCACGCTGTTGATCTTTGTTTTTGCTTTATCCGATTTTGGGAGAAAATGTTGAGCCGATTTCCATCCATGACCGTTGCTCGTAGGGATGCTTGCTTTGAGCAATCTCTCTGTGTTTTTTTCTTTCTTTCACGTTTTGTTTTTAAGTGATTACAATAACTTGTTGAGCAGCTCATTTTCATGGCATTGAACATCCACCATCCGTTTTTTTTTGTGTTGGACATAAGT